TGAGTTTGAACACTAATCTTTTGTGTGGAACTGTATCAAATGCCTTGGCAAAATCCAAATAGATCACATCCACGGCAACACCCTGATCTATACTTCTACTTACTTCTTCGTAGAACGCAATCAAGTTAGTTTGACATGACCTGTGCTTCATAAAACCATGCTGATTTTTGCTGATAACCATATTCTTCTCAAGGAATTCTTGAATATTATCCCTTAATAACCTTTCAAATATTTTACCAGCCACAGAAGTTAAGCTCACAGGTCTATAATTTCCAGGCAAGGATTTTGAACCCTTTTTGAATATAGGAACCACATCTGCCTTCCTCCAATTCTCCGGAACACTTCCTGAATCCCAATAGGTTCAACAGCAGAGAAACACCCAACAGTTCATGTAGCAACATCTCGATCTTATAAAAACATCCCACTTGTGTGAATTCTTTGTGTTTGGAGGAAATTACAGGACTATAAGTGGAACACAGAGACCGAGCAAGTTTGTTATTCAGTTTCATCTTGTCTTCTATGAGACAGTATCGAGGGGTGTAGTAACATGTGACCTCTTATCTCTCATGCTCTGGGGACTTCGCTGAGGAACATTACTGCTCACATGGTCTTTGGCTTGGTTTGAGGCACAGGGCAAGGATTGTGATCCCCTAGAAAAGCAAATGGCCAGGGCCCAAAAGATTGAGCAAAATTAAGTAGGACAGGTGTGAGTAATGGGAGGGAGTGATAAGACGTTATACATGATAATGGAAGTGGAAGGAGTATAGGAGAGGAAGGGATTGGTGGGAATTATACAATTATAGAGAGAGGAAGGGATAAGTGAGAGAGATAGGATGATGGGGAGATGGAGGGAAACATCGGTAGGATGGGTTTGGCATATGGTGGCACATAATCTTGGCCAGGCCTAGGGCAGCATAAAAGGTGATTAGATCAGAGTAAATCATGGCATATTCTTGACGTTCTTTACGCCTTTTTATCTTTATTTTCTTTAAACATGGGGACAGCCCTCAGTGTGCAACCTTTTCCTTAATAACCAATTTTCCTGGTTTCCACTTGAGACTCTGAGACTAATGGCGGCTGTGATAAAATTGGCTTACAGTATGGATATCTGTTGTTTTATTATATTAACTACATATTTTGTTCTTGCGTCCTTATTTCTAGCCAAATAACAGAGCTATTTAGGATAAACCTGGGCAACCTTCAGCTCTCCAGATGTTTTGCACTACATCTCCCCTGATGGTTTTTATAGTGTCGATAGTATCCCTTTAACTACAAAAACAATAAAAAAGTCTGTTCTGAAAAGTAGTGCGAACTTAGTAACTGGGCAGAGTCACCAGTACAACGTGCCTGATGGTTCCATTGTTTTCCATAGTGACTGCCATACTTTTGCTTTGTACATTTATATATATATTTTCTTGTATGTTTCTCATATCCAAACGAAGCGATCACATGAAACAGTGCGGTGCATGCAGGTACATGGAAACATAAATAAATCATAAAACAGGATGAGATACGCAGATTTCAATTGCAATAAAAATAAAGTATACAAAATAAAAACAAAACAAGTTAGGGTGTAAGCAATGCCCCTAAGGTGGATCAAACTATACAGGGCATAAAGAATCAGGAGAAGACTCCCATCGCACCAGCTATGGTGTTCTAGTCCTCAAGCACAAATGTCCCATAGTAAATGCAAAATAAGGGCACCTGCGTCAGAAGTAGTGTGAACATATGAGTAATGTGCGCAAGAGGCCACATCATTCCAAACAAGAGATAAATGGATTGATGCCAAAATCTCAAGTCACCATGAGCTACGTCGCATGCTCGGGCTCGGAGAGAGCAGGAGAAAGAAAGAAAAGGAAAAAAATAGAGGAAAGTAGGGGGGGCAACGAGGAAGAGGGTGGTGGGCAAAAAATGTAGAAGCTAGGTAGAGGGAATAAGGAGGGGGATCCGGTTGAAGTTTAAGAATACAGCCCTTGTTATACTTAGCTCTGTTTTCGTCTTGTCCAAATCATTGTGTTCCCTGCCTGTGCTTGAATGTAACTGGATTGCAATATACTTTGTAAAAGATTGAATAAACATTTAAAAGGAAATACAGCATCACATGGAAACAATGTTTCATACAGGTTAACATGTTATATGTTTAAAGGGTACTTTGAGCACTATGACCACTACGGTGTGTTGTAGTGTTTATGGTGGCAGGAATATTCTGAAACTACCCCACAGTAATTTATGACCTCTAACACTTACCTATATCTGTACCGGGAACATTTGGTGCAGAGCTGATCCTAGGCAGCGCATGGGTTGCACATCACCAAGGTGCTCTGTAGATAGAGGCTCATTGTGGTGCTAGGTTTCAGCCCCTCTCCCTTGGCTCCATCCCCTCATTTTAAGCCCCATCTCTTCACTGGTAGGCTTATTGAAGTCCCATGCGGGAGAAGTGCTCAGAGTTCCTGGAAGGTGAAGCTGGGCAGTCACGAGGGGGGGGCAAAATAAGGGCACAGGAGTAGAGAGGAGTGGGGTTAAAGAAGAGCATAGGAGTGAAGGTGGGCAAAGGAAAGGCACAGGAGAAGAGGTGGGCAAAAGAGTTCACAGTAGGACAAACGAAGGGGCAAATGAAGGGCACAGTAGGTGAGATGAGTAAAAGAGAGCACAGGAGGGGAGGGGGATAAAGAGTGCACAGGAGGGCCCCAAGGGCACAAGAGGGAAGGGGCTAAAGATTTCACAGGAAGGCCTGGAGGTCATAGGAGAAGAGGGGGAAGAAGTGCACAGAAGGACAGGGCACATAGAGACACACAGGGGAGCTGGGGGCACAGAGAGGCACACAGGGGGCTGACGTGGAACAAAGACTCACACAGAA